TAGCGCTTGCGGGAGATGGGCTAATGCACACTCCAAGCTGCAGTGATGCATTTGCTATTCACAGTGTAATGGGATAGCAGGCCCATAGCAATGTGTGAGGAATGTAGAATATATCTTTTGTGTTGTGATGCTTTTCACCAGCAGCGTTCTATAAAGTGAGTTTTGAGCTAGTAGAAACGTCCTCCAGATCGGGCATCTGGTTGAGATGGACTCATTGTCTATCAGCTGCATTTGTACGTTGGTGATGTTGGTGCAATTCTACACTGGCATCATCGAGGCAATCCTCATCGCCTCATCACTGTGTGGTTTGCTGGAGCCACTGTCGGGGACAAGCTGAGACTATAGCACTTTGTGCGCTCTGCTGAGAAGGTGATGCGCCACAGACTGCCATCGCTACAGGAACCGTACGACGCCAAAGCTCAAGAGTGGGCTGATTGTATCACTGCTGACCCCTCTCACCTGCACATGGAATGTTCCAATCACCACCCTCAGGCAGGAGGCTCCCGTCCATCTGTACCAGAACCTCCCGCCAGTTTCTTCCCCTAGGCTGTTGGACTCAAGAACACTTCATAACTGCCCTTTTGATCGTCACTTTATACTACTGTCACATTGCACTGCTAAATATCTATTGTGCATTTTAGTGCACTTGTATAGTAGTTATTTTAAGAAAGGTTATGTAGATTTATTTATTTTTATGCCTGCCTTATTCTTCATTGATTTTGATGTTGTAGCACTAATTATATTACCATGACTTGTTATTCTATATGTTCAAACCGAGCAATTTTCCATTTCATGCTATTGTTATCTGAAAGTCAAAGAAAACCTATATATTGGCTCAGAGGCACTGCCATATTTTGCCTGCATATAAAACCATGTGAATGCTTGAACCACACAAAACATGATTCCAGATGTCCGCATTATGTACATTTTTACAGACCAAGGTCACCAAGGTTACAATTTTCAGAGTTCAGATAATTTTCCATTCTCTCCAGACCAAGACGCAGAACACACTGGCGCATCAAAGCCCCCAACCAACACCATCCATTCACTCAGCCAACGTGCCGTCCAGTTTAAGAAGGTTCATTTTAGTAGATTAAGCTATTTGGTTCTTCTATACCAGACAATTTTAAGATAGCAATGTTATCTTAAATAACAGATAGAAATGTTATTACCTTAGGGATAATGATAACATAATGGACAGTTGTATTTATACTGAAATTAGAATACACACAGGAGACCTCTATTTAATCATTAGGGCAAGGTTGTGAACAGCCATTAGAAATGTTTTAAAGGCAATATAATTCACTTTCAATAAAGCAGTATGAATACATGTGCAGGCCCGACTTTTCTTTCACTTCACAATTACTTGTGTGGGAACTTTCAGTTAAAAATCTAAAATGTCAAAAATGTTCAAAAGTTCAAGCTGTATTACTTCTGCAAGGCACTGTATATACTGACCTCATCTGTGTGACCACTGTCCGCCCATTACTGACTTACTGAAATGTTCATCAAAACAACCACTTAGCTCGTCAGTCTTCACACTTTTATTCTTTCTTGCTGCTAAAACTTTGGCGCAGTACTTTCTTTGCAAATCAGATTATTATCTCCTACTTTGTATTCAGCTTGTGTAAAATCCAGGTCATTTTGTCTCTTTCCATTAGTTCCATGAGGCTCAAAGTGAGGGATGCGTCGCCCACATAAAAAAGACTTGTGAATGGCTTTTATTTGTTATGTGTCGTCTGCACAGTGTTTTGTTCCATCTACTGAATTAATTCTGCAGTCCAGTGTATGGTGGCTGATAGGGAAAAGTGGAAAGGGACAATATTAGGAGCCAAGACAAAGCCGAAATGTGGTGGAGGGTAAATTAAATCCTACTATTGGGTCAGGAAGGGTTTTGATGGCCTATTTCCATGTGAATCTGGTTAAACATTGAAAATCCATTTATTTTATATTATTTTGTGTCTAGTCAGCGGACTTTCCTTTCTTTTTTTCTTTTTTTGGAGTAAAAATTAAATTATTAATTACAAATGCAGTTTGCTGAATACAATACAAAACGTGTTCAAAATTAAGACAAAAAATTAATCACATTTGGCAAAATTCATCATTATGTGAGCACCCTCTGGCTTTCCTAAAACAAGATTTGCCAACGGGACAAGAATAATGATCTTGTTTAAAAAGAATACACGAAATGTCTCCTTTGGAATGAGAAAATATAGCAACAGTTTTTGAAAGAGGGCAAAAAAGCCAATACCAAAATCTCAATGTCAATTATGTACATTTTTTTAATGGCCAGGAATTCATAATATGTGCCAGGGTTTGTTAACTGATAAAGTGTACACGCAATTTGAATCATTTTTTGTAGGGACCCTGACCTAGCGATTCTGAAATAATAACATACACCAAGACCAAATTGGATTAATCTGTAATAGTTCACAATGGTCAACAATCTTTCAATATTGAGAAAATAAATTAGTCGTCTCCTAGAAACAGCACCGCCTTGTCAGCCAATCATTTTAGTTCTGAAAATGGGGCGTTCCGAGGGAGATGCGTGGTTCTGATTGGACATTTATTGTTCATTGGATTTGGTCAAGGGAGAATTTCTGTGCGGCTGCTATCATTGGGTTTCTGCAGAGTAGAAGTGCACCAAAGACGCACATGATTCCCACTAAAGCCTTATTTATTTAACAAGTGTGTTTTCAGTGGTCAAAGCATGGAGACGGATATCTTCAAAAAACCATAATGTGTATATCCTATATCAGCCCTAATGATTGTCTGTGTGTGAGTGTGTGTGTGTTTGTTAATATAATACAGGTTTCACTTCTAAATCCTTTTCAAGTGAAAAAGAGTTATCATCAAAAAAGTTAAGATAAGTGAAAAGTCTGAGTTCAAGCAGCAGAAAAAAATTATTTGATATTTTTCCAACATTGCCAAACATAAGTCAAGCGAATCTTCACTATGAATTAGGGCAAGATTACCTTTTGCTTCATATTAAACTAACAGCATTTATGTCATCGGCAAATCCTGTTTTGAGACATAATATTCTTAAATCAAGAGAAAAAGATCAAGAATTGAAAACTATTAGACCAGGAACAAGTCAACATCTACACAACTTCCCAGCATTCCTTTCCACTCCAAAGCCCCCAGAAAACAACATAAGCAGCGCCCATACGTCCCTGACTTCCTGTGTGTGCGAGTTGTAATTGCGTTCTCTGCGGGACTTTAACTCAGCGACCACACGGGTCCCTCTACCCTCCAGCAGTGGAATAAGTTATCGGACCCCTGCTGTCTCTCCCTCCCTTATGGAGTCTCATTAAAATGTGTGCAAATAAGCTTCAACAACCTGGGACCGAGCCGTATACACTCAGTGCGGCGTCGGCTCGCTCCTGCTATTGTTAGTTGTTTTGTGTGAGTTGTTATAGCCAGGATGTTTGGTCCCATAGTGCAGTAGAAGAATTAGAAGAATCATCATGCATTATTGTTTTTTGTGCATTTATTAAGTACACAATATATTGATAAACATGTATAATTGACTAAAGGAATGATTTAAAGTTGTGAAATTGCTCCATTTAGGGGTGTAGGTGTGGAATTACATTCAGCTATTTTAATAGATAGTTTCCATGGCATCATGTAATTGAATGGTAAAGAAGTTTTTAAGAATGTAGTTTGAGGGCAATTAATCTGTTTTATAAATGCATAAAACTGTATAAACAAGACATGGTCTATTTTCTCTAGACTACTTTGAAATGTCTCGTGGAGGGTCGATGTTTATTTTGCATGACACACTTGCAAAACATATTTCTTATATTCTTATTGCACAGTGAATTGTTTTAACTGTTGACATTTTAAATGAGTAAATAGGTATCCGGTTATTTGTTACAGATTCACTTGGATTGAAACAAAACTAAACCAAAAGTAAAATAAGGTTGAGAATTGAAGCAAAGGAAGGTTTCTCACCCATCATCTGTACTTCTTAGCAAGTTTTCCCGACGGGAAAACTTGCTAAGAAGTACTTGCTAAGAAGTACAGATGATGGGTGAGAAACCTTCCTTTGCTTTGACTAATCCCTGTACGACTGAGAGCTTACACAAACTTAAGGTTGAGAATTGCAAACTGATAAATTGTTACTAATTACGTTTTGGTGTTTAGCAATAAATAAATAATGTGGTTGTTTTCCTGAGAATAATGGCTTTAGGTAGAACATATGGCAGCACATACAAAGTTACAAATGTCTCTGGGCGTTGACTCCCAAATAGAAAAGTGGATTGTATTTAGCCCAAGTCTGATTTAGATAAGAGGTGGAGGGACGTTTTGTGCCTGAAGTTCCTCATATTTGTGCGGTTTTGCTTAGTATGTGTTCTCTGTGCGATGATTTGGGAATAGGCATGAGCACATTGAGCAGGAGTTTGAGTTTTCACATTGTTTTCCTTTTGAGTGATGTTTGAAGGTGCAGAGTATAGGGCACTAGTGTGAAGCCAAAGAATTTGATTTCCCGATGAATAATGCATTGACACCGTCTCTTCTCTCTCTTCTCCATTTTGAAAAGTTCATTCAGCTTTTTTTCTGCCATTCAAAGTGACACTGCTGTGTTTGCAAATATGGTTGATTCAAATGTGATTCTCGCTGGTTAGATGTGCTCAGGAGTTCATTTGAATTTTGTGGAAAAGTGGTTGGTTTTCGGCAACTTAATTGAAAGTTGGATAAAAAGATATATTTATTCCTTTAGTTTGAATTTACACCAAATCTAGTTTTAAATTCAAAGTATTTTTCCACATCTTTCAAAAATGCCTCTTATTCCACCAATGCACAGCCACATGTATGATTGTAAGTAGTTCTTTCTAGCCCTGCATGTTTTTGCTAGAGTATAGATGCATTATAATAATATTGTGTCCTCTGTCTGCACACACGCATTCTCTCTCTTTCACAAAATGCTGTTTTGTGAAATGGCACCATCACTAACCGCACATGTGGCATTGTCCTGTTTCTCTCTCTTCTCCTCAGAGATGTTGAAGGAGTTGAACCAGCAACGCAGAGCGAAAGAATTTACAGACCTGAAAATAATTGTTGAAGGCAAAGAGTTTGAAGTCCACCAAAATGTTCTAGCTTCCTGCAGCTTGTATTTCAAGGACCTGGTCAAAAGGTTTGCCTCCTCTTCCTCCCCCCTCTGCTCCACACTCTAGCCGTTGATCCCAGGGCGCATTTGTGTTGCTTCTTTTTCCCTCCCCCTCTTCTCTCTTGCAGGTGTGGTGATGTCTTTGGTTCCTAGCACACAGGGTCAGGCCAGCAGCCATCCCTTCCTCCTCTGCTCAAATGAATGTATCTGAAGACACCAATAGAAATAAGGAATTCAGTACAAACCAAAAAAAACGCCATTGCATTTCCTCCCCCTCATGTAGGAGCCTCATTTCCATTTTGTTGGACGAGCGCTGAGTTTGTTTCGGGGGGATAGGGCCCGCGTCATGAATGCTTGTTGTTTTTACATATTTGTGAGATTTTCTTGTAATTTAGAGGTTTCAAGTAACTATTTTAATACTGACCAACTCTTGGAGCATCTCTTAATCATCTAATCTGAAACGGCACTTTACTTTTCTTAATCTTTCTAGCTAATTTAAATGTTAGACTAATTGCAAATATAGCTGGCTGGCTAATTTGCTCTAATACTATTCGTAATATTTTTGATTAAGCACATATGGCGTTAGATTACTTGCTTATTACAGATATCAATTGTCCAAAATGGTGGCCAAGTTGCCAAGATAACCTAGATCTTGGCAACTTGGCCACCACATACAAAGATTTACATGAGCAAAAGGCGTAAAACCTCTTACTCCAGGCTAGATCTAAGCAAGGCAAGTTTATTCGTATAGCACAATTGGTACACAAAACAAGATGGAGACAGTCACACAAGGCATTATTCCACACATGACCCTGTACATTGTAAAATGCATGCGTTACATTTTAAGCAAAGCATACATTTATGGCTGGGGTACCTAACTTTAAAAAAAAATAAATACATGTGTTCTGTGTCCCAACAGAAATGTTCTTGTTTACAGCATTATTAGAAAACATGTTATGTTTTGCTTACTTAGAAAAGAGCCCTGTGAGTCACTGTTTGGTGCTTTGGGCTGAGAGCTGATTGGTTAAGTGAGGGGAGTCCTCTCTTCTTCACTTTTCTGTCAGTAAAAGTTGATGTTAGGCCAAAAAATACATGCATGTGAAAACTATGCACTGTGATAAAACCAAAATCTATCGAGAGCGAGAATCCTATTATAAATCAAATCGGTTTTGAAGGTTAGGTACTCCAGCTTTAAGGTGAAAAAAAGCGTATCTATCTTGTTATGTTAGATCCTTTTCTGTCACCGGTTCAGCAGTACAACATTTGGCAGATCAATTATAGCTTCCATTATGTTCTTATCTAGGTTATAAAACTACCACCCAGTATTTTTCCGGAGGCGTTTTTCATTTGCCACGCGCTCTGTGCTGTCTGTGCATGCTTCTAAACCTTTACACATATGTCTAGTATGATGCCTTTTTATATTTCCATGTTTCGCAAATAGGGATTTCTCTTATTCCCCGCTGTCCTCTAGGCTCCTTCACATCCTCGTCGGTGTTTTTTCAGACTGATTGAAAGTCCCCAGATCATTCTTTTTGTTTTGCCAGTTTCTTCTGTGCTGCTCGCTGTCATGTGCGCCTGTGTGTATGTGTGTGCGCCTCTGTGTGTGTTTGTGTTGTAGTGTATGAAGTGTAGCACAAACAGAAAAGGCCTTACAGTCTCCAGCCACGCCTCGCTCCCACGGGAGAAGTACAACGTCGTCTTTTCAGCCCCGTCCGCACTTCACTGCGGCCTCACCACAGAGCAGGGAGATTATCACTGCACACATACTCACAACACACAGTAGTAGTAGTAGTAGTAGTACGTTTGTTTTCTTTATGGACAGAGCACTTTCCTTTGTCTCCGATTCAGTGCCTTCTATTAATCGTAAACCAATCAGAAACAGCATTTTTGTGGCTACGATTTTGATGATTGCGATTGTCATGTCTGTAACTGGAGAATAAACACATACAAAGATTTACATGAGCAAAAGGCGTAAAACCTCTTACTCCAGGCTAGATCTAAGCAAGGCAAGTTTATTCGTATAGCACAATTGGTACACAAAACAAGATGGAGACAGTCACACAAGGCATTAAAAGAATAATACATAATCACTGTACATTAAAAAGAGCCAAGCTACAATCCCTCAGTTGTTTGCACAGCTAAAAAGAACTGTTTTTAACCTGGATTTTAAGAAGCCTGTCTCACCCTTTCAGGACGTTCCAGATTTTAGCTGCATGAATCTGAAATGCAGCCTCCCCATGTTTTGCTGTCACTCTGGGCACCAGCATGATAGCGTAATAGTTTAATATCAGACTATTCCTGATTCAGATCTAGATTGGGTTTTCATAAATAGGTTCATCGCAATACAAACTTTTTTATTTAAAGTAACATTTTGAGAACAAATTAGACTACATGATGCCTTCTTGAAAACATTTACATCCAAGAAAGAAGCCTGCGAGTCACTATAAAAATACTATTTAAGCTAAAAACTGATTGGGTGATCCCCGCTGATCTTAAAATGTGACTGAGGCCACAAATACATGCATGTGAAAGCTACGCATAGAGCCAAGCTGTCACACAATTCCATGTTTTATAGTATGAAAGTTGGGTAGCAAAGCTTTAATAAACATAGCATTTTTCTTTTCAGTCCATTTGAATAGATAAGAACAGATCAGCCTAGCCTGCAGTTTTGTGTCCACTCATCCTCTCCCCATGAATAAAGAAACAGCCGTCAGTTTTCCTCGACCTTGATAATGGCGAGGAAGCTGCTTTGGGCCCCATGTGAAGTGACTTTGTAGTGAGGAGTATAGGCCCCCTGCTGGCTAACCTGTCTATCAGCCCAACCTCTTATCTGGAACGCCTGATTAACGCAGCCCTGAAAAAAGTCTCCCATAGGAGTGTCCTATCATCTCATTTTGAGTTTCTCTTCATGGCCTTAATGCAGACATAGATTTGCCTCACTGAGTTTGACAGTTAAATAGAAGGAATAGGCATTAATCAACTCATTAGGTGCGGAAATTATGGAAATGCATCGCGGCGAGGCTGTTCATGTCGACAAAGATCTTTGTGAGCTATAGAAAATACAGCTGCATTAGTTGTTAATGTACAACTCATTTACACACTCAAAGTGTAATTTATGCATGTTTGAGTATTTCATATTCTCCTGAAGCCGAGGCCACTGTTTTTACTTCCTTTGTTTGCCATATCTGAATTTCTGATACCAACCTCCTGGGTAACCAACTTTCAATCTACAATATTTTGTCTATCTAACTAGTTTCTCGCTCTTCAAAAATGTTTTGCCCTATCAGTAGCTTTCCCAGGCATTGACTTTGTCACAGTTTCAGCTTTTTAGATCATCTCTCGGGCTTTGTTGTGCCCATGTTTCCCCTCACGTCTTGTTAAGGGCCTTTATGGCAGAAGAGCTAGTGGACTTGTCTTTCATAATAAAGAGTAATAATAAATCATGTTTACAAAGCGCTGCACATTCAGCATAATAAACAGTAAAAACAGTCATATAGTAATACAGATTCAAAAATAATTAGAAAGAATAGTAGATACAGGAAGACAAAGCAGACAGCGCAAACACAAAAAGATGACAAAGCATTGACAAAGCAAACAGTAAACCTTTTGTATTACCATACACATTTTTTGACAGTAGCTCAGTTGGTAGAGCATTGGCCTTAAGGCCAGAAGGTCGTGGGTTCAATTCCCACCTCTACACCTTCTCCACCGACTTCCACTGATGACTGCTGTCGTTGTGTCCTTGGGCAAGACACTTAACCCCACTTTGCCCAAAGCCCCCACTGAAAGATCAAGGCTATGCTCACAGTCAGAGAGCAGCCGCCCTCCTGTGGACTCACCACCTGCAGAGGGTCAGTGAGGGGCTGGTGCTATGAGACTTGGGTGGCATCTCTGACTGCCACCCACCTGACCCAGAAATGGATTAAGGGGAAGAAAATGGATGGATGGATGGATGGATTTTTTTCACCAAAAACATATGAGACAATATTGATAGATTATAGAATATATAGAATATATAACAGACATAAGCATAACTCCAGACAAGTCATTGTAGAAAAAGGGTGGAGTGTATTGCCCATCGGCACTAGCATTCCAGTGGCAACAATCCAACTATAAATAAAATGTATATTTAGAATGCTTTTCTCTTCCATAATCACAATAATAATAGTTTCTCAATTACTGCTTATCTGTTTGATCGTACATTTGTTGAAAGGACATGTTTTATACTCTCCTGAACGCCAGGCCACTGTTTTTATAGAGTTGCAATGAAGTACAAAAGTTAAGGGCCACGCTCTCGTCAAAGTCAAATATTATAATGTATTATAAAACACTTTAAATAAAAAAATATGTATTATAAAATCTTATTAAATTAAATCAGTGAGAATGCACTTAAATGAGTAATTATGTCTATATTTCTTTTCGAATAAATTCCTTCTTGAAACAACTAAATAGTGGGATGGATTTGTTCAAAGCATATTACATATTTGTCACCTCCACAGTAGAAATTACAATCCAACAGCCAGTGAAGCTTTTTGGGCTGACACACTTTACACCAGTACAAAATGAAACTGTCCAAATGATAATTACAAGTCTGAGTTCTTCTACATGTAGCCTGGATGTATTACCTCCTAGATTTCTTAAATCTGTTCTGAGCAGTCTTTTACCTTCACTCACGCATATAGTAAATATGTCTCTTGAATCTGGAACATTCCCAATGGCCCTGAAAACGGCAGTCATCAGACCCCTCCTAAAAAAGAGGAGTCTGGATGCCTTGGCACTTAAAAGTTATCGGCCCATTTCAAATCTGCCTTTCATGGGTAAAATTCTAGAAAAAGTTGTCTATCACCAACTTACAGAATTTTTAATAATCAATCACTCTTTTGATATGTTCCAGTCTGGTTTTAGACCCCACCACAGCACAGAGACCGCTCTAGTGAAGGTAACAAATGACATCAGACTTAACACTGACGCAGGAAAAGTCTCAGTTCTTATCCTGTTAGATTTGAGTGCTGCTTTCGACACTGTCG